TTTTTAAGTATAAAGTGTATAACTGTACTATTAGAAAGTATATTTAAAAAGTATATAACTGAAAAAGTAATGAAGTATACAACTAAAAAGTGTATAACATCATTAGAAATGCATTCAGCTGTTAAGTATATAACTGCATATAAGTATATAACTGAGCTAAAAATAGGCAGCTGTGCTATTAGAAGTGCATTTAGCTAGAGGTGATATTAATAGGCAACTTGATTTACAATGTCTTAAACAAATGGGGTTTATTTTTCACGTGTTACAATGAATGCTAGAGCTAGAACATTATCAGTGTTGACTTAGGTGACTAGTGACCAGTCTCCCAGTCTCTTTGTCCCCTTCACCACCTTTGCATACGTAGCAGGTGGACATTCACCTGCATGGTCCTGACATGGCCATTGTACCTTCAGACTTAGGCAACAGTGTATCAGCTGAGTTTTCCTCCTTTTATAAGAAAAACTGAAGTTTTCCTAGAAACTTCTCTGGCAGACTCTCACTTCAGTTTCTTTAGCCAGAACCAGACTGCTCCTAACTGCAAAAAAGGACGGAAGAGTGGGAAACAGGATTATCACAATTGGCTTAGCCAGCCACACCCCATCTCATGGAGCTGGACACATTACGACCCTATGCAAAATTTGCATCCTCTTAGCAAGAAAGGAGGGAGAAATGTGTGCTGGGCTGGGTGAGCTAAGCAATAGCCTCATTTCTTATAGCAGATTTTTAAAAATCTAACTTAAACTTGCCACAAAGTTCAACCCACCATTTCTCTGACATTCATAGTCTATTATGCATAAACTCATAATTCATCCTGCAAAATCTACTCCCTCCATTCCATCTCAGGAAGTACAATTCTATTCTTTCAGTTTTTTTGGCCAAAAGCTTTTGAATCACCCTTGAATTTTTGCTGTTGTTTCTCACATCCCATAGGCAATCCATCAGCATGTTCCATTGTCTCTGCCTTTAAAACCCATTCCGCATCCCAGCAATTGACATTCCCTTCACCTCGCCACATGGGTCCAGGCTGCTGGTGCCCCTTCTCTGGAGTACCCCCCAACCTCCACCACTACCCCTTGAAGTCCATTCCCCTCATTGCAGCTGGGGGATGTTTTAAAAACGTACGTCCATTCACATCACCACCTTGCTCAGAACTCTCCAACAACTAATTGTATTGCTCACAGTACAGTCCAAAGGCTTTACCTGACCCCAAGGCCCAACGTGATCTGTCTGCTGGACACCTTCTATCCTCACCTCTGCCACCTGCCCCCTTGCCCCATCTTCACTGGCCTTCTTGAGCCTCTTCGTACCGCCAGTCGCTCCCTTACCTTGTGGCCTTTGGATTCTTCCTCCACAGAGCTCTCCCTTTCCCAGATAATCACATTACTGGCTCCTCACCTCATCAGGGCTCTGCTAAAAGTTCTAATCATTTGGGTTTCTCTGACCTCCCTACATAAAAGAGCCCTCACCCTGCCCCCTACACACACGCACAGCTCTATAGCTCTCTTCCCACTCACTCTGCTTTATTTTTTCGTAGCATTCATCACCACCTGACAGTTGTATGTATAGTACATATATGCACAAACCCTTTTTTTAATCCTTCTTCCCCCAACTAGAATATGAGCCCCTCAAGAATAGGGACTTCATCTGTTTTGTGCACTACTTGATCCCGAGCATATAGAATAATCCCCAGCATGCCATAGACATCAGTGGATATTTGTCAAATGAATGAATGAATAAATGGGTGAATTGGGGAACCCCCCTGTGTTTAAAAAAAATTCTAGAGCTCTTCGAAAACTCATTCTTCTTAGGTCAGTTGAGAAATTTCACCACTACCAGTATTTACAACTACTTTCATTTAAAGTGGTAAGATTTAAAGAGTTTGAAGTGTTCACCATTTGTGAGGTACCCAAGAAAAAGTGTCTTATAATTAGACTGTTTTCCTGGAGTAGTTATAGAATGTCTGAAAGTTGTATCACGGGAAAAGCAGGCCCTACCATGTGTCTCTAACAAACAGCAATATTTACAAAGGCTTTACTTACTCAGGATGGTTTAGATGAGGAAAGGAAAAAAAAGTTGTGTAATGTTAACTAGGAAAAATACACATTTTTTTAAAGGATTAATTGAAGATGTCAGATCTTTTCCTTTGAGGATAAATTCTTTCTGACTAGAACAGGAGACAGTTAACTTCTGAAAAACCTCAAGACTGATGATTTTGTCTATATAGCATTGACCTGGAAGCTCAACCATTCAGACTAATAAATCAGGCAATTTATATTTAATCATTAACTAACTCCTGAGCTGAACAGCTGTTCAAAATTAGAAATGGGTCACCCCGGCCAGGATGACATTACAGGCAATCTATAATGCATTAGAATAAAATTATAGTGATTTTTAACTGTCTAGAAATTTATTACAGGACATGTTCCAACTCTTAAACCCTTGTTAGCCAGTGTCAGTAATGATTTATGTTACATGGGTGGTATGGTAAAATTATTGACGATTTCAATAGCCAGTAAGTCTATGTTTAGTAAATCTTCAAATTTCAAAGCTGTTTTGGAGAATGAGGTGGGTGCACTTTATTGTTTATCATTTATAAACCAAAAACAACAAAGATGGAGGGTAGGCAAATGAGAGATTTCTCTTGAAAATTAATGGATATGTTGTCTGTGGCTGAGGAAGGAGAGTAATAAATTCTATAAAGAGGGCTAGAGAGCTGAAGTTCCTTAGCATTTAATTACATACATAGCTAACTTGGGGTGATCTTTATCAAGCAAAGCAAGAAGACAATCTTAAAACAGCTTTGATAACCATTTTCACATGCTAATTTCATGACCTCAGTGTTGTGGGCATTAAGATGGCTTGAAGGAATCTGGCATTCCAATCTGTTCTGACATATGTCATTTTTGTTTTCTGTAGTCTTTCTTCTTTCCTGAGGAAAATGCAATTCCACAGAATGCTCTTTTGCTTGTGCTTTCAAATCGTGGGTCTTTTTTTTTCAGGTCCCATTAATTTGTGTGTTCTTAGAATGTTGTGTTAATTTTTAGCATGCATTAAAACAAAGTAAATTAGTGAACTATCCTGCAATTCAGACAATCCATACATATTTATTGCAGTTTTATTCAAATCCAATATTAAGGGCTCCACATACTTAACCTGTAAATCAGGTTTTAAATGGCCATCCGGGTAGATATAAGGACTTCGGAGGCATCCTTTTAGAGTATTGTCTTCAAGGTTAGAGAAGTCCTGCTTTCTATCTTTTTACTTACGTCATAGTTTCCTCCACCAATTTAATGATTATATTAGAAATATAACCTAAGTTGAGTAACTACTGGCACTATGCTTTAATTAATAGACTCAAAGACGGATGGCTTTATGTTTTAATTAATTAAGATGAGTGGTGTTTGTCATTTTCCTTTGTCTGTAATCAGCCTATTACCAACCTGTTAAAAATAAATAAATAAATAAAAAGTTTGCCTAGGGCAGCATAAGGAAAAGCGGGAAGAATGGAGAATGGCCAGGCTGACGTTAAGTATCCTCCCGTCCCTCATTCTTGGCCACAGCCCTTGGTCCTCCACTGCAGAGGGACAGGGGAGAGATCGTCAGTCTTTCAAGAAGGAGCTCAGTCATAATTAAAGAGTTAGCATATCTGGCAAGAAGATGTTAAAGAACTAATGTCACATTGTAGTAAACTCCACTGAAGAGAGTCTGAGAACTCCTTCATGATGATGGGTTTCAAACACATGAAAGATTATAACAATCTTGCCAACTAGTAACGTTCTGTTCCTTCTAGAGACTGTGCAGAAGGACACAGGCTTACACGGTGCTATATGGTAATTACCTTTGTTGAGTTGACACTCACCCTGCAATCACATCTGAGTAATTTTATCTTTCAGTCAGAGAAGATTCGCTGGGGTCAGTCTATTAAGTCCTTTGAAGCTCAAGAGAAGACCCTCTGTGGAGATGTTCTCCTTACCGCGGCGTTCGTGTCTTATGTTGGACCCTTCACAAGGCCGTATCGCCAGGAGCTGGTGAACTGCAAGTGGGTTCCCTTTCTTCAACAGAAGGTAAGTTCAATGTCTTACCTTGTCAACACATGGCACCATCCTATTGAAATTTCAGTGGTAAAAACCATGTACATTCTAGGTACTTTGTACCTCAGTAACAACTGACTGGAAATTCTACTCTGAAGGAGATGGTTCTTGTGTGTTTCACAGTTTTTCTTATTTTAATGATGGTTTCAAACGGAGTGGTAACAATTAATCATGTAAATGATAGAGTTGTGGTTGGAAAAGTGCTTTAAACAAAACCAATAACCAAAATGAAATTTGGATCATTGTGTTACAGAAGAGCATGAAACTTTTTGTTTTCTTACTAATATGGTAGCTCATTGGTTAAAGGTTTTTTTAAAACTACTTTCAGATTAAATATGTAGCATTTTAAATATAAGTATAAAAATAGCTTATCCCAAATTTGAAAATTCAAACCCATATGGAAAGTGAAATAATAGATTTGGAAGATTTGAAATCATTTAGTGTAAGATCCTCCTTGCACAAACGAGAAAACTGAGGCACGAAACTTAAGTCATGTAGGGTAGGAAATCAGACCTCCTCACTTCCAGGCCTCTGTTTGTGATGCAACACTGTCATCGTAGTTGACTGGAACAGACTCTTAGTTTACACATCCAGTCCTTCTGGTGTATATTTAGAGACACCCTAAATATCTCTGTATATTAATGTTCTATATTGGTAATAATAAATGCCTCAGTTTTTACAGTGGCTGTTTTCATGACCTAAGTATATGTCAATGGAATTTTTGCAAATTAAATAAAATTAAATATTTTAGGGAAAGCTCATTTTTAAAGGCATCCCATCATTAATCATTTTCAAAGGAAAATCCTTTTGTAACTAAGTTGTTTGATATATTTGTAGTGTTAAGCCTTGGTTTTATATTAAACATTTCTTAAAGGAGATTGTATTATTCTCTGAAAGTTCTAATATTTTATTTATTCATTTATAATGGTTAATATCTGTCCTCTAACCTGGCTAGAATGTAAAATCCAGCAAAAATTTTATGTTTGGTTCACCACTCTATCCTAGAATAGAGTCTGAAACATTGTGAATGTGTAGTACTTCTTTTTATGGAAATATAATTTACATACCATATAATTCACCCATTTAAATTATGCAATACAATGGTTTTTAGTATATTTGCAGAGTTGTGCAACCATTACCACTGTCAATTCTAGAATATTTTTATCACCTCCAAAATAAATCTCATATGTCCCGACCCGCGGAGTAGTCAACGTGGACCCTGGAAGTGGGAGTGGGAATTGGGAGAGGCAGGAGACATAAGAAATGGAGACAAGACAGGAATCTGATCAAGTCTCGTTTATTGGCAGGAAGGCAGAGGCTTAAGTAAGGCAGAAAGAGTAGCAGGAAGGCAGAGGCTTAAGTAAGGCAGAAAGAGTAACAGTAAAGGGGCGGTGCTTTCCGAGGCTCTGGCTTTTCAGCCAGAGGATTTC